TCTGCACTTGGAGGCTCGTCTCCTCCTCCTCTTCCTCCCGCCGCCTCGTCCCGCTGCTCCGCGGCTTTGACCGCGTCGGTCTCTGTTGTGAGGTCGCTAAGAGCTAAAGTGCTCTTGGTGGCCGCTCCTCGGACAGGCCGTTTCGTGTTGGGCTGCAGGGTTGTGGCCTTGCTACCAGAGGGTGGGCTCTCAGTTCTGGAGCCCTCGTTGGCCCCGGGGTCTTTAATGGTGAGGTCAGAGGTGGCGAGTGCAAGTAACAGAAAGGCAAAACATTTGGTACTATCATCCTCAGTGAAAAGTATTTTTATTTTTAATTAGCTAATGCCATTGTTCACACTTTGGATTTTTATCTTACCTCTGGTTAGAAAGGCAGGTGATTCAGTAATAAAAAGTGGTCTTTAATTTTTCTTTAGGGGCACTTTCAAGTAAATTCTGTCTTTCTGTGATGCCATGAATTCAAGCAGATTATCCTTAATGGTTCTTTTATACAGTAATGAAAGATAGACATTGAACAATTGTGAGAAGGACTGGTGTTGAACAGTTGTGGGAGGGTTTTGTTTTACCTGATGTTTGGGCAAAGCTACAAAACGAGAGTTGCAAAAATCTCACAAATACGTAAAAAGCACCGCATACAATAGTCAAAATACTGATGATTAAAATTTAGCACTTGCATTTATGAATTATGTGTTTGTAAACTTTGTTTTTAATGTTAAGTGTAAAAGAATTTATTGCATATACTAGAGCCATCTCTTAAATATCTCTCTAGGAGGAAGGAGCAAGAGTTTTGTCTTATGGCTGCTCCAGGAAAGGTATCAGCTTTCCGTCTGCCTCCCCTGCCAACTGTTGGAGAGATTATTAAACTCTTTCGCCTTAAAGCTCAGAAACAACTTTCCCAGAATTTTCTACTGGATTTGCGATTGACAGGTTAAATATTTTATTGTTATATTTTTACCTACTATAAAACACGTATCCTGGTTTTCTTCGGAATCCTGATTCTAGCTATGGAGGTGGTGTTTGTATGATGAAATCTGTCAAGCTAATAGCAGCTCAGTGGTTAACCTTCAAAAACTTATATTAAAAGTTTTAGCTTAGACAAGCTTTACTTGTAAATGCCTAGAAAATGTGTTTAGTTATAAACAACCCGGTAACTTTAGGTAGAAACTATATTCCTATATGAAATATGTATTATTGATTGAAATGTAAAAATCCAAGTCTTAATAGTGTTTTTACCATTCAGGTGTTATTATAGTTTACAAGTTTGATTTAAAAAAAAAAAATCCTATTTTTTTCAGATTATTATGTACCATAGAAAGTACTGTAACTAATTGTGCAGTTTTATTTATTATATAGTGTGGCTGGGAGGTAATTTGTCTTAGTTTATCAGAAATGTAGCTTTTTTTTTTAACCAGTTACATTGTTCTCAACAGTTTTCTCCATTTTCATGTCTGCAATGATGGCAAAGCTGTCACTGTTCAGTCAATGGTGGGTTTCTTTACTGTCCTAGTGGTAGCTAGGTTTTGCAGTAAGAAATGCAGGGCAGCTCGTGTAGCTGATGGTTTGAGTACATTTGAAGATGCAGGTTGATAAAGATTTAGAGTACAAATATAAACCACAGTTCCACTTCCTGAACAACTGGACTCGTACCTTGGAATTAAAATGTCTGCATGCATTTAGTAAAACCTTACAAGTAGACAAGTCTTCAGATATTTCTTATTGCATATTAAAGAAGTTATGGAATGAGCAGTAAAATTTCTTCCAGCATCTTCTCTCCATGCTTCCCAAGGATACCTTTATTTCATCAGCTATGTTTTTAATCCTTATTTTAAAACCTTAATCTATTTTCTTTCCTGGCTGTAATACCTTCCAGTATTGTATCCTTCCACTCATGTACAGGTATTCTTTCCTCATCTTTCAACTGCCCCACTTTCTATGACTACCTGTTGCCTGTATTCCAACCCTTAGTTTACTCCAGCTCCTCCCTCACACAATTGCTGGGTTCATACTGAAATCTTGTATCTTCTTAAATATCCTTGAAACATAGGCTCCAAGGAAATGTAGTGAAATACTGTAGCAAGACTTTGGGATGTTGAACACAAGTTCTAACTTGCAGGAGATTAGTCCTGGTGATTTACAGATGAGAAGTAATAAATATTCTGTTTTCATTTGATTCTATAAGACACAATGTATATTCAAGACATTAAGATGAAAATAGGATTTTTAAAATATTTGAGGGTATCTTGTACTACGAAACAGATCTGAATTCTCTGCAGTTTAGCAGGTGTGTGATTAACTGGGATGTGTCACTGTTTATGTCTGTTCTGAGGTAAGCACACTTGTGTTTTAACAATAAACAATGAGTTTATCTAAGTGAGCTGGATCTTCTGCAGAATAAAAGCTTTGTATGTTCTTTGTGTCTTGCAGACAAGATAGTGAGACACGCTGGCAATCTGAAAAATGCCTATGTTTGTGAAGTGGGCCCTGGGCCAGGAGGGATTACCAGATCCATTCTCAGTGCTGATGTTGAACAACTCCTTCTAATTGAAAAAGATGCTCGATTTATTCCAGGATTACAGGTACCAGCTGGAGAATAACTTGTATAAATATATCCACAATATTCAATAAAAACAGTTTAAGAACATAGAATAGAAAGGTGCTAAGTGTCTTGCTGACATCTTGGCATTGAAAATAGGTTTGCTTCTTTGGCTTAAATCAGAGCTATCATTTGCTTGAAGATAAAAATACACACTGTAGCAATTAATTGCTCCTGCTTTCTCGTAGACCCCTCAGGACCTGATCCTGCAACTGACTTAATGTCGAGTCTTGTCTATTTTTTTCTGATTGAGATGCTTCGGTTGCATTTCACCATGCAGATGAACTAATAGTTTGAAGGCTGAACATAATGTCTTTTGGTCTTATTTTGCATTTTAATCCTGATAATTATGCTTTATAAAATTGTGAAAGTGTATTTCCACTCCAGTTAATGTTCAGAATGGGTAATATCCAAATACAGAAGAATAAACTAGTGTTTATTTTACATAAAAGAAAAAAAAATGCTCTTAAACTTTAGTTCCTTTCTTTTGATAAAAGTTCACAAGTTGTTGTGGCATTTTTCAAGTGCCATTTACTTGTGTTGCTATTAAATTTCCATGTTTATGGAATTTGGATGTATAAATCTAGGACAAAAAACCGTAAAAAAATCTCATTTTAAGTCAGATTTAACTGTTTTCTTGTGCCTCTACAATCTCAGAGGTCTTTCCTTATATTGTACTGTGTCTTCTGTAGTAAATCAGCAGTGAAAATAAATAGGCAGTTCAGTTGAGAACTGCTACCATCTCTTTGTAGGACAAAACCAATCTAAGATATGAATGAAAATGCTGATATACTTAAACCTGAATATGCATGTAACTATGTCTTTGTAGGCTTAGCCATTAGTAATTTACAGTATACCATCTTTATGAAGTATGAAAACTTCGTGTTTTCACTCCTCTTGAGTGGGGGCAAATCTGCATTTCTGTTTCAGATTTTAAGAACCGTTTTGGGATTGGAGAGAATTCCAGATTAAATGATACTTTAGTTAACAGGTTTTTCAGTATTTACACAATTTTCCCAATCTTGCAGAAGGCAGCCACTACAACAGATTTCTCTGAATAAAAGTATACTTTTCAGGGTCTGTAATGAGGTTTGGATATGTAATTATCTTTACTGTTCACGTGAATTAACATTAGTCATTACTTTTAATTAGCAACCTCCTTACAGTAGAAATAAATATGTCTGAATGAGGTTATTGAATATAAAGATGCTATAACTCGGTAACAGTGGATGTGAATGAAAACTATGTATGTTGCATCCATTACTGTTAAATTTGTTTTTTCCCTCCAAATAAGATGATGCATAATAGAATTAATCTTTCTTTTATGAGAATGTGGGTTGTAATACCTATTTTTTTTCTGGTTTCCTGTTAAAAACACTATCAAAACCAGATGCTTATAAATGGGTTGAGGCTTGAAAAACAAAACATCAGAGATTAAATTAACAACTGGGGACTCTTACTTAAAAACGTCTCTTTAGATACTTACGTTTTCATTAACTTTTCCAGACTGTGGTCTCTATCAGAAAATTGAAGTTGGGATCCTCTTTGCTGCAAAACTGAAATATAGTGAAAAACATATGTGTACAGAGTGAAAATTTACACAAGCTGAGAGTCTGTCAGTTCTGTCTCACTTAAAGATTCACAAATTCCCTGTGCCAAATGC